GTCCAAATTGCTCCTTGGTATTCATTACAGGTCTGCGGGAGGGTAATATTGGCAGTGACTAGAGATGAGCGAATTATTCAAAAATTCGATTCGGCTGATTTGCCGAATTTCAGGAAGAAATTCGATTCGATGCGAATTTATTCGCTACGAAGTTAACTTATAAAAAGGGTTTCTAGGCTTCAGAGAGCCTTTAAATTAGTGCAGAACACTGTACCTTTAATTTAAATGCCCTTGGAGATGAGGAAGGAGAAGGAGAAGGAGAAGGAGAAGGATGAGAAGAAGGAGAAGGAGAAGGATGAGAAGAGAAGGAGAAGGATGAGAAGAAGGAAAGATGAGAAGAAGGAGAAGGAGAAGGAGAAGGAGGAAAGGAGAAGGAGAAGGAGAAGGAGAAGGATGAGAAGAAGGAGAAGGAGAAGGAGAAGGAGAAGGATGAGAAGATGGAGAAGGAGAAGGATGAGAAGAAGGAGAAGGATGAGAGGAAGGAGAAGGATGAGAAGAAGGAGAAGGAGAAGGATGAGAAGAAGGAGAAGGAGAAGGATGAGAAGAAGCAGAAGGAGAAGGATGAGAAGATGGAGAGAGGAAGAAGGATGAGAAGAAGGAGAAGGATGAGAAGAAGGAAGAAGGAGAAGGATGAGAAGAAGGAGAAGGATGAGAAGAAGGAGAAGGATGAGAAGAAGGAGAAGGAGAAGGATGAGAAGAAGGAGAAGGAGAAGGAGAAGGATGAGAAGAAGGAGAAGGAGAAGGATGAGAAGATGGAGAAGGAGAAGGATGAGAAGAAGGAGAAGGATGAGAAGAAGGAGAAGGAGAAGGATGAGAAGAAGGAGAAGGATGAGAAGAAGGAGAAGGAGAAGGATGAGAGAAGAAGGAGAAGGAGAAGGATGAGAAGAAGGAGAAGGATGAGAAGAAGGAGAAGGATGAGAAGAAGAAGGATGAGAAGAAGGAGAAGAAAGGCTGAGAAGAAGAAGAAGGATGAGAAGAAGAAGAAGGATGAGAAGAAGGAGAAGGATGAGAAGAAGAAGAAGGATGAGAAGAAGAAGAAGGATGAGAAGAAGAAGAAGGATGAGAAGAAGGAGAATTCCAAGCCGGCAAAAAGTGTATCTGCAGAGCTCCGCTATTTCTTAGGCTATTTCTGACAGTTCTGTGACATTCACTCCATACAGCAATTGAAACTGCTGTATGGAGGGAATGTCACAGAACTGTCAGAAATAGCCTATTTCTGACAGTTCTGTGACATTCACTCCACTTCTGGGAATGTCCCAGAACTGTCAGAAATAGCCTGTCTGACAGTTCTGTGACATTCACTCCATACAACGGTTGAAACATTGTATCTATTTGTTTCCATAAATGGATCCATTTATGGAAACAAATAGATACAATGTTACCGCTGTATGGAGTGAATGTCACAGAACTGTCAGAAATAGCGGAGCTCTGCAGATACACTTAGCGGAGCGGAGCTCTGCAGATACACTTTTTGCCGTCTTGGAATTATTCTTATTTTCATCCTACTTCTTCTTCTTCTTCTTCTTCATCCTCATCCTCATCTTCTTCTTCTGAAGGGATGAGGATGAAGGAGAAGAAGAAGAAGAAGTAGGATGAAAATAAGATTAATTCCAAGCCGGCAAAAAGTGTATCTGCAGAGCTCCTCTAAGTGTATCTGCAGAATAGAGGAGCTCTGCAGATACACTTTTTGCCGGCTTGGAATTATTCTTATTTTCATCTATTCTGCAGATACACTTAGAGAGAGCTCTGCAGATACACTTTTTGCCGGCTTGGATTATTCTTATTTTCATCCTACTTCTTCTTCTTCTTCTTCTTCATCCTCATCCTCTTCTCTCTTCTCTTCTGAGGATGAGGATGAAGATGAAGAAGAAGAAGAAGTAGGATGAAAAATAAGAATAATTCCAAGCCGGCAAAAAGTGTATCTGCAGAGCTCCTCTGCTCTAAGTGATCTGCAGAATAGAGGAGCTCTGCAGATACACTTTTTGCCGGCTTGGAATTATTCTTATTTTCATCCTACTTCTTCTTCTTCTTCTTCTTCATCCTCATCCTCATCCTCTTCTTCTTCTTCTGAGGATGAGGATGAAGAAGAAGAAGAAGAAGAAGAAGTAGGATGAAAATAAGAATAATTCCAAGCCGGCAAAAAGTGTATCTGCAGAATAGAGGAGCTCTGCAGATACACTTTTTTGCCGGCTTGGAATTATTCTTATTTTCATCCTACTTCTTCTTCTTCTTCTTCATCCTCATCCTCATCTCCTCAGAAGAAGAAGACGAGGATGAGGATGAGGATGAAGAGGAAGAAGAAGAAGAAGTAGGATGAAAATAAGAATAATTCCAAGCCGGCAAAAAGTGTATCTGCATCTGCAGAGCTCTCTATTCTGCAGATACACTTAGAGGAGCTCTGCAGATACACTTTTTTGCCGGCTTGGAAATTATTCTTATTTTCATCCTACTTCTTCTTCTTCTTCATCCTCATCCTCATTCTTCTTCTTCTGAGGATGAGGATGAAGAAGAAGAAGAAAGAAGAAGTAGGATGAAAATAAGAATAATTCCAAGCCTGCAAAAAGTGTATCTGCAGAGCTCCTCTAAGTGTATAATAGAGGAGCTCTGCAGATACACTTTTTGCCGGCTTGGAATTTTTTATTTTCATCCTACTTCTTCTTCTTCTTCTTCCTTCATCCTCAGAAGAAGAAGAAGAGGATGAGGATGAGGATGAAGAGGAAGAAGAAGAAGAAGTAGGATGAAAATAAGAATAATTCCAAGCCGGCAAAAAGTGTATCTGCAGAGCTCCTCTATTCTGCAGATACACTTAGAGGAGCTCTGCAGATACACTTTTTGCCGGCTTGGAATTATTCTTATTTTCATCCTACTTCTTCTTCTTCTTCTTCTTCCTCATCCTCTTCTTCTTCTTCTGAGGATGAGATGATGAAGAAGAAGAAGAAGAAGAAGTAGGATGAAAATAAGATAATTCCAAGCCGGCAAAAAGTGTATCTGCAGAGCTCCTCTAAGTGTATCTGCAGATACACTAGAGGAGCTCTGCAGATACACTTTTTTTGCCGGCTTGGAATTATTCTTATTCGTACTACTTCTTCATCCTCATCCTCTTCTTCTTCTTCTGAGGATGAGGATGAGGATGAAGAAGAAGAAGAAGAAGAAGTAGGATGAAAATAAGAATTCCAAACGGCAAAAAGTGTATCTGCAGAGTTCCTCTATTTCTGACAGTTCTCTGACAGCTCCTTCACATGTACAGCGGTTGAAACATCTGTTCCAAATAAAAACATCTGTATCCTAAATGGAAACAAATAGATACAATGTTTCAACCGCTGTACATGTGTTCCTTCTGTCAGAGAACTGTCAGAAATAGCGGAGCTCTCTGCAGGGACACTTTTGCCGGCTGATCGGGAAAAAATCCGATTCGCGCACCCGAAGTAGGCAAATATTCGGATTCGACGTGAATCGAATTTTTCCTGAAATTCGTATCGAATTCCGGTTCACCTGGTTCGATTCGCTCATCTCTAGCAGTGACCCTCAGTGCCAAGGTGAAGAATATTTATAGAAACATTGCACATAGATAGCCTTTTGGGGACCATAAATTATTCTCCTAAAAAATTATACAGAGGAGACCAACTCATTATGATGCCTTCAGAGTCAGCCCATAGAATATCACTTTAAGGTTCTGTGCAATTTATGTGCATACCTATATGACGGCTGTGAATATATGGGTTCTGACCTTTAGGAGGTACCTGGCCTTTCCCATGTTCCTTACATTTGTCCTTATACAGTGTCTTTACATTTGTATGCTTCCTTGTCCACATGTATTTCTACCTAATATTTGTCCATTTGTACATTACACCCAAAACATATATAAAGTTTGGTTGTATGTAAAAAAACAATACCTTTTATGACAAAAAAAAGATTAGTAAACCAGTTACTTTCACCAGTTACACAGTTAATGTAGATGTACAACAGGCGCACTCTGTCTCTTCGGTTTCATATGTAATATCATTATAGAAATTAACTAATTTTATTTTTAACATTCCAAATGGTGGGCAGTACATATACACAAAAAAATGTGGAACATATTCCAAGTCAGCAACTAATCCTTTGCATTAATTATTAAAACCATGTAATTCAAGGTTTCAAGATTTTCAATTATTGAAGCCCAACTTCAACATTTTCTTTACGTGAGGACCAGCAGGTATAAAAATAAAAACTCAACTCTGGGATGTAAGCTACCATAAGTGAGAAAAAGTTCCTTCAGGGCCATATTAAATCTATCACTGGGGGGGAGTGTGTCCGGTACATGGTGTAAAGTGTTATAGGTGTTTTGTACCATCTGGCTAAGGACTTGAAATTGGACCCCATGATTTTAGTGCTTGGTGAGAAGTTGCCATCAGCAATAAAATCTTTTATTTTTGCATGTGTTGGAATGTGTTGGAGTACTTTATGTAACAGCCGGCTGTAATATTGGTTGCAGGATATTAGATGGACACAAGATGGCAGTGTCCTGCAGCCCAGATGTAAAGACCCTGTTGAAAAGCTTTGTGGGACTCCTAGGCTGAATTGCAGGACTTCACTGCTTGACAGCAGGCTGGTCAACTACATTTCCCAGAGGAGCTGGCAGATGGGTGGGGGAAAATAAATACAGAAGCCCAGGAACTCAGGATATGTAAGTGGAAGGAGGAGAGCTGAAGAGCAGGTGTGACAAGAGGACTGTGCAAAACCCCAAAGGTCCAAGTGGGACCTAGCCTCAAAGACTGGAGGAGAGAGAGAATCGCTGACCGCTGTCACTGCTGACGAGTCCGTCGAATAGCGCTGTGTGCAGGCAGGCTGGAATGCTGTTGTCCAGAGCAATCTCTGAGAGAAGAACCACAAGCACCCAGAGGACCCCATCTACAGAGAGACGATCCACTGACTGGGACCATGGATCGGGTGAGAGAGCCCCATATTCAAGCTCTCTAAAGTGTACAAGACATTACCAAATTCAGCTACTTTCAGTTGAAAGTACAGTTGACCAGGGGCGGACTGACCATTTGGAAACTCAGGCACTGCCCGAGGGCCCGGGGTCAGTAGGGGGCCCCATGAGATGCCCCTGGTACCTTTTCATAGGCTTTTTTGAGTTTGGGCAAGGACACAGGGGCCCCATGATCCCCTATTACCCGGGGGCCCCATGCATTGTCAGTCCGCCCCTGCAGTTGACTGCTACTGTTTCTGAAATTACATATGTTAAGGTTGTCCAGCCTACTAGTTATCACACTTCCAGCATATCCAGTCACAAGAGCCTACTGCAACATCTGCCCTGTGAAAGTCAGGCTGTATTCCTGCTTCCATTGCAACCTGCTCCATTCAGCAAGGAATTCCCTTATTGTTACAGTTTGCCACTGATATCCAAAGAAGGACTTCTCCCTACAGCAGCTAATTTTGTTAGTCCTTTAATCTTTGCCCAATCTTACATCTCACCCCGTGTGTGCTAAAGGGGTACTATCAGGGGCGGACTGACAACTCATGGGGCCCCGAACAAAAGGGGATCATGGGGCCCCTGTGTCCTTGCACACTCAAAAAAGCCTATAAAGAAGGTACCAGGGGCATTTCATGGGGCCCCCTACTGACCCTGGGCCCTCCGGCAGTGCCCCTGGGTACTATTCAAAATTCAACTTACAGTTGCAAGAAAAAGTGGCCTGGACAGATTGTTGTCATTGATGGGAAAATGAATTCCAGAGTTTATCAAGACATTTTGCAGGAAAACGTACGATCATCTGTCCGCCAACTGAAGCTCCGCAGAGGATGGGTGATGCAACAGGACAATGACCCAAAGCATACAAGTAATTCAACAAAACAATGGCTGCAACAGCACAGAAAATGCCTTCTGCAGTGGCCCAGTCAGAGTCCTGACCTCAAGCCGATTGAAATGCTGTGGCATGACCTTAAGAGAGCGATTCACACCAGACATCCCAGGAATATTGCTACACTGAAACAGTTTTGTGAAGAGGAGTGGTCCAAAATTACTCATACTTTTTCTTGCAACTGTAGATGAGCAGTTCCATTCCCTAGTTTCCACACTACATTAAGGAACTTCTGCCTTTTCTGCAAGTAAGATTTGCATCCTCATGTGTACCAACTAGGGCCCCATCGAACGTGCAGAGGATCAGATATTGCAGTTTAACCAATTGCCCTCCTGAGGATTTACCCCCCTTCCTGACCAGGCCGTTTTTTGTGTTACGATGCTGCTCTAATTTAACTGAGAATTGCGCGATCATGCAACACTGCACCCAAATTAAATTTATATCCTTTTTTCCCCCCCATGAATTGTGCTTTCTTTCGATGGTATTTGATAGCCTGTGCATTTTTTATTTTTTGCGCTATAAAAAAAAGACCGACAATTTTGAAAAAATTTTTTTAGACTTTTTGCTATTAAACGTCTAGTAAAAAAATAAAAAAAATCAAATTTTGTCATAAATTTAGGCCAAAATGTATTCCGCTATATGTCTTTGCTAAAAAAAAGTCCCAATATGTGTAAATTAATTGGTTTACGTGAAAGTTATAGCGTTTACAAATGGCGGTATAGATACTAGATTTTTTTTTTCACTAGTAATGGCGGCGATCAGTGATTTATAGCGGGACTGCGGTGGACATTCTGACACTGGGAGCAACTGACTTGGTGTCACTGACATCCCCAGTGACACCAATACAGTGATCAGTGCTAAATAAAAGCACTGACACTGTACTAATGGCACTGGGCAGGAAGGGGTTAACATGATGGGCAATCAAAGGGTTAACTGTGTGCAGAGAGTGTTTTACTGGGGGGTTGTGTCTGTGTGCTTCACTGTAATCACCCGAGCCTGAGCTGACAGGGAGTAAGACTGTTTGTAAACAAAACAGTCCTTCTCCCTGTCGGAGATGCTCGGTAATCACCAGGCGCCGGCGGGTAATCACCGGCTGGGACTCGGTGATTGACAGCCGCGGCCGGGTAGGGCGTGCATACGGCTCGTGCACACCCCCTACCCGGAAATGCAAAATCATGTATATGTATGTGATTTTGCACACCCCTCCCACTCTGTAGCAGTATATCTGCTATAGGGCCATTGGGAAAGCGGTTAAAAAGGGATATTGGCCTTTCTAATTGAAGAGCAATTCTTTCTTCAGAATTAAACTCAGCCATCCGTCACCGAGAGCCCAAAGTGACTGAGCCCTTCTACTTGTTAGTTTTTTTTAGTATCTCACTGGGGAAGAAATTCTGAATTGCAGGACATCTAAAATTGATTGAGATTGTGCTCTGTGTGACCTTTACTTAGTGTTACTAAACCCACATCAGTAAAATCAGTCTGTATATGCAGTAAAACATGCTTGATATACTCACTGTGGAACCTAAGGGGTTAATCCTCTGCATTGTGTAAAAATACTGTTGATCCTGACTTCTCTGATCCTCCTTTTCTTCCTGTGTCCCCCTCTTATCTCCTGAAAAGACATATTGTGTGGAGACACTCTACACGTGTTCAGTTTAGTGTGTATTGCTAGAGAGGTTTTTTTCTTCTTGGGAGAGGGCATGTGATTAGCACAGGGCCAGTCAGCACTGTCCAGACAGAGGTCAGGGGTTCTGCATCCTCCTAGAGCAGAAAGAATACTACTTCTACAAGCTTCAACCTGTGCTCTGCTGGACACTGATAGAAGTCACACGACTGCTCTAACTGCTGATGAGAAAAGGTATTTAGCAGTTTATATTTACTAAAATGATTGCATATCCATGTAGTGTGTACTGTGGAAGACCATATAGAGTGAATGCCGGGTCCTGGGTTTAGTAACACTTTAAAGTTACTAAAAGTGACAGTTATTATTTCATGCATATATTTTTCTGTTGCATCACTGTGCCTACATTTTACTTCAATACAATCAACATATCAGTTCACTCTAAACTGTTTGTGAGTCTGTTTTTTGGTTGGGCTTCCAGAGCGAGGTCAGGAGAGACAGGGATCCCAAACATTACTCAGCGGCCCCTGAGGGGGTAGTGCTACATTTATATATTTGTGAGATGTATAAGCATCTTCTTACACAGGCTGGATTTAATTTACTTTCAACCCTGTGGAGACAGGGTCACTTTAAGTTAAAGGCTTCACAACCATCAGTTTAACACTCCTGACTACTCAGCAATCCTATCATAAATGTAACAAGTAAATTTAATTTCAGCCTCAGCCTACTCTTCACTGATGCAATCTTTCATCCCACATAATCACTACTGTACATGTCAGCATCACCACAAACATTATATTAAACAGACCTTATCAGTGAGATAACAGAATCAGCAGGAACAGAGCCTGCTTTTGTAATGAGCAAATATGACTGGCCAATGCTACTAGAATTATATTCTATACATAAAAAAGCATTAAAAAAAGTAGTTTTTTTTTTTAGTTGATCTATTTTACATATATTTCTTTAAAAAATGCAAATAAATGTGCTTTTATAAAAGAGCAAAATAAATAAATGTGTTAAAATATTGTGTGTTATAGAAGCAAGGAGATGAAAATACATTTTTTTAAGTAGTGCTGTTTTACACAAGATTCATACAAATTAGAAACCAGATGAACCGCGCATAAATGTATTCATGTGCATATAATAAAATCCCAAACTGGTAAAAGTGCTCGTGCTCAGCTTAATTGCAATATCTTGATTCATCACTCATCCCAAAAAGTGCTCCACAGTGCTTGACAGAGTGCCCCACATGGACTAACACTCACCCTTAGCCAATCACCATCTATCTCTAGAATGCTTTGGGGACAATTCCCAATGGGCCAATTGTCTCCAAACCTCCACAGGTTGGAATAGACATGTTACCATGAAAAAAGGAAAAGAAGAAGATATCCCATAGTATAAAACTGGTAGTTTATTGGGGGTAAAACGATTAAAACTCACTCACAAGTTTTTCTGTGCCCAGCACTCGGTGTACTCAGCCTCGTTACTCCTAAACATGGAAGCCGCTGTGCTGAACGCTCCTCTTAGTGGCATGCAGTCCATAGGGTGGAAGTGACGTTGGCGGAATTTGTGTCATCAAACCTCAACACGTTTCGATCAAAAATCGTCTTCAGGAAGTGCAAAATCCGCCATTTTGATGATGGTATTTATACCCTTCAACAGGATAATAATTTGGTATATACAAACCGCAACATTGCTGAGTACATTTGGTGTTACACAATTTTGGGCTTCATGTTGCTTATGCTGACATAAGTATGTCATATACATACAAATATAGTACAGTATAAAACCTTCCATAATAGTCCATCACCTTAAAGGGGAAGCAACTCAACTAGATCTATAATAAATAATAAAAATTCCAAAAATAAAATAAACAAATATACCTGATGTTTACATAACATATATATCCACACATACAAAATGACAAATGCCAGTCCATAAATCAAGTATTGGCGAGAAATAGAAGGAAAACCTCAGTGGTAGTTTTACTCAACATACCCATTTTGTATTCACTTAAAAATCTTTAAAAACAAATTAGGTCTATTTCAATGTTTAACCCTTCCGGTGTCAAAGTTTGAAGTTCATATATCCACCTTGTTTCGTTTTTAGATATTTTTCCAACTATATGGGATCCTCTCCAGTGTCTATCTATTTTATCTATGGCAAAAAAGATAGATGTGAAGGGTCCTTGTTATGCACCAATCTAAAATGATTTGAAACACTGGGTTTCTGATAACCCTTTCTGATATTAGTGATGTGTTCACTCATTCTTTTTGGTAAGTTTCCGGGTAGTTCTTCCTATATATTGGTACCCACAAGTACATTGTAACAGGTAGGTAACAAATCTAGTCTGGCATGTGATAAAAAGTTTAATGGTGTATTGCTTAAGAGCCTGATGAGACATAAACATAGTAGTTTTATTTGGCAACTTTTTGGTATACCTACATGGGCCACATTTAGCACACCTGAAAAAAACCCCTCCTGAAAAAGAGAAAGCTTCTTTTTTGGGGGGGGGGGGGAGGTCTGGAATGTTATGGACCAGTTTGGTTCTTAAACCTGAGGCCCGTTTATAGATAAAATACGGTTTCTGGGCCACATTTACCACACCTGAAAAAAGAGAGGAACCAGAGGAGGGGACTAGAAAGAAAAAGATAAAATTAGGGAAAGGTATTTTTAACCTCAGTGATGTAAAATTAACAAGGGAGGAATTATTAGTTTTGGATCAAGGTCTTAAGTATGCACCTACC